CCCTCCTTGACTCTCTGTTGACTCCCTGCTCTCTTCCCAGCTGAATTCAGCATTTGGACCCGGGAGGCCGGAGCCGGGGGTCTCTCCATTGCGGTGGAGGGGCCCAGCAAGGCCGAGATTGCTTTTGAGGACCGGAAAGACGGTTCCTGCGGAGTCTCGTACGTGGTCCAAGAACCAGGTAGATATTGGGCTGCATCGGGGGTCAAGCCGGACAAAACCAACGCCGAGAATAATTGAAAAATAATGTCAAAATCAGGCTATCCAGAAAGCTCAGAGGCTCCTTCCCTCCTTCCTCTCTCCTCCGCTAGGCGACTACGAGGTCTCCATCAAATTCAACGATGAACACATCCCGGACAGTCCCTTTGTGGTCCCCGTGGCCTCGCTCTCGGACGATGCCCGGCGCCTGACCGTCACCAGCCTCCAGGTATCTGATGGAGGAGAATAGTGGTAGCCCAGGGCTGAACTGTGGGGTCCTTGGTGCTCTCTGAGCTTGGTGGTTTTCTTGCAGACGTTTCATGACCCTGCTAGGTAACTTCATCAGTGCTAGAAGAGAGAGTGGTTTGTGGCGAGGAGGAGGAAGAAGAAGGGGAGGAGAAAGGGAAGGGTTGGAAGAGAAGGGGGAAAGGACTAGAGGAGAAGGGGAAGAAGGAGGAAGAGTGATGGAGGAGGAGGAGAAGGGGGAAGAGAAAGAAAAAGAGAAGGAGAAAGGGGGAGGGGGGAGGGGGAGGAGAGCTGTGGGGTCTTCGGTTCTCTCTGAGTTTGGTGGTTTTCTTCCAGACGTCTCATGACCCAATTAGGTAACGCCGGTGCCAGAAGGTAGCAGGGTTTGCGGAGTGGAGGAGGAGGAGGATGACGGCTGTGTGTTCTTAATGGTCTTTGAGCTGGGTGGTTTTCTTGCAGACATCTCATGACCCAACTAGGAAACATCATCAATGCTAGAAGGGGTTTGTGGAAAGGAGGGACAGGAAGGGGAGGAGAAGGAGAAGGGATGGAAGAGAGAAGGAGAAGAAGGAGGGAAAGAAGGAGAGAAGAGGAAGGAGAAGTGGAGGAAAGAGCGAGGAGAAGGAGAAAGAAAAAGAGAAGGAGAAAAGGAGGTGGAGAGAAAGCTCATAAAATGGGGCAGCAGATTCACTTCACAAACATCTCACTTAGCAACAGAAATGTTGGATCTTAATTACGGTCATAAATCAAGGACTACCTGTACCTTGGCAGGAAGCTGGGGAAGGTTGGGGCTTGGGACGTTGTGTGGATCTGACTCGG